TGCACGGTGGTCACGGGTACGTGTTCAAGGACTTAAGTACGACTCCCGCTCTCTCCCTCTCGGGACAGTCCCGGAGCGGAGACTCCCGGTCCGTTTAGTGAACTTTCCCCATGTGTCCGGCTGCCGTGTGTCCCCGTGTGCCAGAGCCTTGCCGGGTTATAAAGCAGCAGCGCTTAGGGAGGGGCGAAACTTTGCTGTTTTTTGTTCGCATTTCATTCTTTGAAGACAGAGGTGGTGGGGTGTGATTTCACTTAACGTGAATACCTTTACGCCACCTGCTGCAGCTGGGTGGCTGCAGATTTACACCCAGTGACGGGGCAAACCTGGTCAGGGCCACTGTTTGATGTAGAAAAAGTATCTGTATTTACTCTTGCAGCCCCTGGGACCTTGTCGAGGCCCTTGTCACGATGGGCAGGGTCACTGTGGAGGCCCCGTTCAGGCAGCTACAGAGGGATTTTATGTATTTATTGTTTTCTTAAGTAGTTTTCTCTTTTAGCCACAGTCAGACTTTAACATTGAAAAGATAGTTCTTGATAGTTCTGTCATTGTCCGGTATTTTATAATTAGTTTTTTTTTTAAGTTGTTCTCCCTGAATTCTACTGTTTCGGACTGCAAAGAGTTTAACAGCTGGACGAGTTGGGCAGAAAAGGAAGTAAGTCGGACAGAAAAAGAGCACTCACCAACTCAGTTAAATCAGTAGCCCCTGCGTTAAAGCAGATGTTTGTTACTGCGATTACTTGCAATTTTAAACAGCCTGCAAAATCTGCAAGCAGGATTGAAACTAAGTTTGTGCAGTTTGTCATCACAGTGAAATAAAATGGAAATTTGGAAAAGCATGGTGGTAGGAAAAAATGCAGATAAAAATGTCTTTTAGTATGAGGAGTGAGTGACTGAGGTAATTGGGAGTTTGTGCAGACCTGTATGGAAATGGGCAAATCAGAAGACAAAATACTGCTGACAGCAGGGGGTATAATTCACTTTACAAACCCAAGAAATTATTTAAGCAGTTGTTATTCCTGTGTAGTTAGACTTTGTATAGGAATAATTGAACTGTCAAACAGGTGTTGCAGTGACATTTCTCCAAAGTTACTGTATTATACTTCAATACTGATGCCCCAGTTAAGATTAAAAATACCCAACCAGCATTAAAAAAAAGGCCTATTCACTCTCTGAATCATCAAGCTAGTTTAAGACATGGAGTGAAAGGTGATAATGTGTGAGTAAAATTTGTTTCCCAGTACTCTTTGTGTAACTTTACAGGTACAAGTTGCTTTGTTTTTAGTGCACTTGAATATAGTAATCGGGTGAGATCCTTACCTTGTGTAAGGTAGCATTGTTATGTTGAAGTCAGTGGTATTTTTTTTTTTTAAATCAGCTCTTTTATGTCTTGTACTGTAAAATGCTGTTTTTAAAACTATAATCAGTATGTGGTTATAGTCTCAGGTGTTTAATAAAAGTACTCTTTTTTCCTTTTCAACTATCACAGGCTTAACGACTCACTGTAGTATAAAGTAAACAATACACATTTTAAACCAGGGAACTTCTTTGTTTAGAGCATGCTCTTGCAGTGTAGCAATTTGCATTTTGATTAATAACCCATTTTTTTATGTAATGCATATAATAATTTGTAGTCCTTAAACATGGATGGCTTCTACTATGATAGACAAGCTTCTCTGATGCTCTGTGAGACCTTGATGTTCCCAGCAGGACTGTAGCTTTTTGACATCTTTATATTTGATTAAAATACAGCAACATCGTTGGAATAACGATTGCTATAAAAGGGTCTAAACAAACATATGAATGCCTTCACTTTATAATCATTTATTTATTTATTTATTTATTTATTTTGGTAAAGTTAGTTCATTTTCTGTGGTCTCTTCACAGATGAAAGTCATAACCTGAAATGTTGATAGCTGCATAAAAGTATTTATTTTCTTACTGAAATATTTGCTGATTTAATTGAAATGTAAAATGCAAGTGATAGGCTACAAACCTTGCATTATGTGCCAGAATTTACTGGCAGTAATCAGCAGACATTTAATACAGAGCTACTGTAGGAACATGCAGGTATAATTCAAATGAGCATAAAACTTTGGCACAGATGAAAAGGAAAAAAAATCTTACATCATGCAGACAAAACAAACAGACATATTCTTCTATCTTATAGCAACTAAGATGTCAAAATAGATAGGTTGTTGAGGAAACATGTCTTCCTTTAATAGATGAAGTGGAATTAAAACACCTACAAATTACTGCCATGGGTATGCTGAGGAGACAGGCTGCAAGGCTGTCATTCCCAGAAGTACAACTTTTTATGGTGATATTTTTGGGGAATTGAAGATAAAAATGTCAGTGCCCAGAGAGGTATGTAGAGAGATGGCTGAAATCCTCAGCCTGCTCTTCACTGGAGAAGTTTTGCTTGTTTTTGCCTCCTCACCAAGAGAGAAATAGATAAACTACGTAGTGTTTTTGTTTTTATTTTTAAAATGGGTGTGAGGGTTTAGTCTTTGGGAAGCAGTTTTTAACTTCTTGTTTGTTTTGCTTTATGGCACAACAAACAAATCGATGTTTGATAGTAATGCACATGTGATAAATATCACTGTTATTGGTAGTTGGTGTATTTTTAGTATGAAATATTGACTGCCCAGTGTTTTCCCAGTTATGTGTATGGGAATATATCTGTCCATGAGAATACAGTGGATGTAGAGTTTACCATGTTCCATTAGTTTGATGAAGGAATTGTTTCAGTGGCCTAAAACATAACAAGTATTAAAAGACTGCTAGTAGGATCTCCAAGACGTGAAAGGAAAAAGAAAAAGCTTCCTTATTTAGAGAGTGTCAGAATATATATGGTATTCCCTAAGTATGCGTTTACATGTTTTTCTGAGCTCATTAAAATTGTTAATTGCAGAGAAAAGTTCATCTTTCTTGCTTTATTAATAACAGACCAGTACACTTTTCCATGCTCACTTGAAGCTTCTGTTATGTCTGTAGCTATTTGGAGTGTGCCTAGAATGCAGAATCAGGTCCACGTTAAATTATTTGCATATAAATTAAGTTGTTTTGCTTCGTTTAATTGGCTGGTTGGGTTTGTTGTGCTAGTGCAGATCCATGGATAATATGGAATTTCATTGGACTAACACTGGACTACCTGTCACCAACTTTTTACCATGTTTTATAATGAGATAAAAAAATTAAAATGTACTGATTTCCTTCAACAATGGCTAGCCAAATATGGCTTTATATTTGAGACAGCAACTGCTTCACTGGTGGGAAATTTTTTCAAGTTTTAAAAAGATTAGACTGATTGGAAAAATGTGATAATTTCCATGAAAGCGTGTATCTAGTTCCATCAGGTGTGGATGCACTATAGCAAGAGTTCCCTCTGCACTAAAGAGTATTTATTGTACTGCAGAATAATGCTTATAGACTGATTAATAGTAGGTGCCACTATTTTCATTATATTGAATCTGTCCACCCATCTGCTTCCCCCAGAGAAATAACAGATAATTAGTCAACCTCTAAAATTGTGATAAATACTTACCTGTTATCTAAAATTGCATGATTATTTCCACTGATGGAACTTTGGAAAGCAAGACATGATTCAATACCACTCAAAAAGTCTACGTTTGTGCTACCTTTACAGTTATGTTTTGCTCAGAGTAATTTTCTTGTCCTACATGCCTCCAGAAAAGATTTCTATTTAAATCCATAATTCAGCTTTTAGAGGGTAGCTTCTTGTTTCTGCAGAGATATCATTGCATGTGGGTTTTCTCCAAATGTGTAAATCTAAGTTTGCTCAGGAAGGTTCCTATTCTCTATCTGGTTTAAACTCTCTTTAGTTCCAAAGAAAACAGTTACAGATTTTATGTCAAATTGAAGTGTTCCCATTCTGTACAGAGGTGTAATAAAGACATTTTTCTCCTTCAGAGATCTTTTTATAATTTGACCTATTAACTGAGAACATAGATTTGTCCTCTATAAAATACACCAGAAAAGCAAAGCACTTGTAGAAGGATGGTGAACTTCTCTCTGCTTGTTTAATAATTTGTAATTCTGCAAAGTTCACAGATGTTTTTTTGGACTTGCACAGTCACAGCAGGGCTGTGTAGACGTGTGTCTCAGACCTACATGCAACCAGTACTTAAGAAATAAGCAGTGGAAAACACTGCCCCTCTTGAGTGCACTATGTAACTGTTAAGTTCTTATGTCCAAGGAAAGACAAAGTGCCCTGCCAGTGTCTTAGGGTAGAGCTAACTCTCCAAAGGCTATTAAATCCTGGTTTGAACTGAGGATTGTGCTTGCTTTACATCATGTAACTAATATTGGCTTACCTTTTCACACGTAGTGATGACCAAAACTGCTAGACCCTGACGTTTGATACAAGGTGAAGGATTATTTATTTAATGTCAGTGCAGTGTCTGCACATTTGTAGGCAATTTGTAGACCATTACTTTTTATCAATTGCATTGCAGTAGAAGTAGTAAGGAAGTGATAAAGCAGTGTTCAAATGCTCTGTACTTAGTACAGTTTGTTTCCCCCGTTCCCCTTAAATTGCAGTAGTCAAGCAATGTCTTATTTGATACGTCCATGAATGAAGTACTGTGCAGTTAGTAATTGCTTTGTTTTTTTTTTTTTCTTTTTTCTAGGTTTCTTGGTGTTACGCAGTTTTCTCCTACTCATGCCAGAAAAGCTTTTCCCTGCTTTGATGAGCCCATCTACAAGGCCACTTTCAAAATCAGCATCAAGCATCAAGCAACTTACTTATCTTTGTCCAACATGCCAGTTGAAACTTCTGTTTTTGAAGAAGATGGATGGGTTACAGATCACTTTTCACAGACTCCTCTCATGTCCACGTATTACCTAGCGTGGGCAGTGTGCAATTTTACATACCGGGAAACTGTCACCAAGAGTGGAGTAGTTGTAAGTACTTCTATTGTTGTATCAGATACCCTTCATTTTGAAAACCCTCACTTTTTGTAAGGGATCATAACATCATATACTTAAAGTATTTTCTTTGTTAGCATTCCTAAAATTTGCCAGCTTATTGAAAATGATAGTCTGGATTGTTTGAGACCTTTTTTAAAAGTTTGTCTAACATTTTTTCTTTGTCTGATACTTTTTGTAACTGGTTAGCTTAGCATGTGTAGTTGTCTGATGTAAATTTTAAGCCTTTAAATATGCCGTTTCACTTCACTTTGATTTTCTTGGGAAGTTTTCTCTTAATTTTTCTGTAGCCTTTTTAATACCAGTGTTCATGGGACTATTTATTAGAAGAAACCGGAAATACTGGCAGGTTTTTCAATCTTCTTACTTCAGTACTGACATATCCCTTGGTGTGCTGTGTGCTAGCTCAGGAGGCTGATAAAGTAATTTCTGTCTTAGGTCTCTTGCTCAGGAGCAGGACTTCACAACCTACCAGCTTCCTGTGGAGATCCAGGTTGATGAAAGCACTAGTGTTCTGGAGCTGTTGTTTCCAAATATGGCACGATTCCAGGACTTATGCCATGAAAAAAGAAAGAAAATCCTTTATTTATGTCAGTTTTGTTTTTGTTTACAAGTATCAACCTCAGAACTGTAAACCAAGCCAAAATATAAATGAGAAATGCTGTCAGCTTAATGGAATATTTCACAGCACACTGTCATCTTGATTTTTCAGGTGAACATACAGAGAAACCCTTCCTTCTTAGTTGCTGTGAATAACAAACCAGAGCTAGTTCTGGAAGCAGAGGGCTAGGTGGCAGTTGAAGCTGTGTGCCTGTGCAAAGGGGTGTTTACCTTGTACTTCTGCAAATGCTCTGTGACTTTGTGCTGTAGCCTGGGAGCATGAGGAAGGACTACAGGCCTCCATTCCATTGCTGATCAGGTCAGGAAATGTCTCCATAACCACTTTTGCTAGCCTAAGCATTGAGCTGCTGTGGAGGGAGCTGATTCTGCCTTTTCTGAGCCAGAAGTATTCTTTGCCTTCCTTATGCTAGCCTTCAGCTCTGTACAGCCCTGTGATCTGGCTGAAAAGTGACCTGAAAAAAAAATAAATGTGGTGAGTTTTCAACCCTAGTACAGATTCAAGTCTGTACTGATGGAAGACAAACCTTCTGCATTGGCATCCTTCATTTAGGCCATACTGAAGTGATCAGAAAATAAGCCTTGTTTTTGTCACTGTAACAGCTGGATAGGACACTGGGGACCTTTCACTCCCTTACAGCCTTTTAATACCATGGCCAGCAGACTATGACACTACCCTCTGGCCTCACAAAAAGGGAGGAGGAACCATGTCTAGGAAGTGGCCCTCTGGGGTGCCTTAAGCTATGAGTGTAAGTAGGAGCTGCTGAGGCCATGCTTTCAGTCCTAGTGGTTACCTGTGATGGCTGAAAGGCTTTGGGATTGTGAGGTTGTGTGTTGCTTTTTATTTTTTTATTTTTTGCCAAGGCAAAGAAGTCAGGAACGAGAAGTGTGTGGCTGGTTCTTAGTGTTTCTACCAACAGGTACATTACATGTGCTAGAGGGATTGCTCTTAGGATGAGGAATGGGTTGCCTCTGTCTGTTGTAATAGTCATAGAATCATAGAGTGGTTTGGGTTGAAAAGTTCCAACCCTGCTGCCATGGGCAGGGACACCTTCCACTAGATTGAGTTACTTCTCTGAGTAGGCTGTTCTGGTTTCTCAACACCCTCACAGTAAAGAATTTCTTCCTAATGTCTAATCTAAATCTACCCACTTTTAGTGTAGAACCACTGCCCCTCGTCTTATCACTGCACTCCCTGATAAATAGGAGTGTTCACTGGCCTAGTAGAACAGGGTGAGATATCAGGCCATTTCTTACTCCCTATCAACCAGTACCAAAACAGACTTACATCCAGGCAGGAGCTGAAGTTTTTCATTTTAATGTTCTCCACCTGCTGAAGGATTTAGTCTTAAGCTAAGAATAGCCTAGTGTTTTTTAGCTTTAGAAAACACTGGTTACTGGAAGTGCTCCTTTAACGAGATGGAAGTTTAAGGTACGTAGTCTAGTGGGTAGGTCTCGTGTTCTTTGTGCTCTAATACAGTGTAATGCTTGCAAGTTTTTCCTACCTGATACTATGCTGTTACCTCATTTTGAAATGTCCTAGACTCATCAGAAAAAACAGATGCAAACAGTCCAGCTTCCAACATCAGTGTAAGCAAATACATGAGACATGGGGGATGGACCTCAGGACCATTTGTTTGAAAGATGAAACTTACTTTCTCTTTAGCCTATTTTCTTGTGTATTTTAGAGCTCGTATCCTGCAGGCTTTTGGTGGTTGAATATATTTTTATACCTTGAAGACAGAGGCACACTCATAACCTATAGACAAGAATTGATAACTCCCTGCTGTTCTCATATTTGACAAAACTATTCTCAAGACTTTAGGTTTAACAGGAATCCAAAGAGAACATCCAAGTATTAATTTGTTAGGAATTTGTGATTAGTAGGGCCTGATAGTTACACTTAAGTCTGTTGGTTCAGTAGGATATACATATATGTATACTCCACTGGCATGACAGTACCATTGTACTGAACTTTGCCAACAATTATGCAAATCAGTGAATAATCCTTACAAGGACTTGAAGACTAAAAGCCTACATAGGTTGAAATAGTATCTTATTTCATGAAGTTGTTCGGTAAGTGTGGAGTTTTAGCTCTTGTTTTGGTACTACCTCTATCACAGACGTATGTTAATGCCCAGGAAGACCAAAATAATTTACACTGAGTTATTGATTGAATGTATTTTGCTATTTTTTTCAGTCCATTTGTGATTGGATCATTTTTCATTGTTGTTCTGTTTTGTTAAAAGAGTATCTTTTAAGGTATGAACTCAGGGCAAACACTTTAAAGCTATGTTTATTCAGATGAATTGCTGAGGTAATCCATCTTTCTGAGTCTTTCATATTGCAATACTGGGAGTTCATGGACACTGCTGGGTGAATATGAAATTACCTGAAAATGTGGCACATACAATTCTAAGCTTTTTGGTTTCCTCTGAAGCCTATTTTTCACTAAAATGTAGTTGCTTCCGTATCCATGGCCATGAACTTAAATGGATGTTAAAAGTATTTGTTTCTAAAAATGAATATTCAGGAAAATTAACCAAACTCCCTTATTGAAGCATTTTGATGGGCAGTCATTTGCATTGTGGAATCTTAATTAATTAATTAATATTATATTGTTTTGTCGACATACAGTAGAAGTCTAAAAGACTTGAGCTTGCATTTACTTTTGCTTTTGTTTTTGGCATATTCTTGAACCTTCACAAAGCTTTTTTTTGTGTGTGGAGGGGAAGGGGCAGGGAATGATCCTTTCAGATTTTGACAACATGCTAATGATTACAATCTCACCTTTCTTTCAGCTGACCAATTTTAGTAAATTACTGTAGTCAAGGGTAGATAAACTCCTAAAAGAAATAAAACATTGAAATCTAAGGAGGTTTGTTCCTCAAAATTGGTTAAGTGTTAGCTGTTCAATTTTTCTCAAAGAATGACGTTGACCTCAAAATTAATTTTAACTGAAGTGTAAGATTCAAATACAATTTGAGTTTTATAAATAGAAACTGACTTTTCGAAAGCATAGCTAGGCAATCAAAATAGTAATTTTGATGTATCACAGAATCACAGAATATCAGGGGTTGGAAGGGACCTCTGAAGATCATCAGGTCCAACTCCCCTGCCAGAGCAGGAACAAAAACTAGGGCAGATCACTCAGAAAGGCATCCAGACAGGTCTTGAAAGACTCCAGAGAAGGGATCTCCACAACTTGTCTGGGCAGCCTGCTCCGGTGCTCTGTCACCCTCATCCAAAAGTGAGCTGGTGTGGCTCCCTACTGCAGACACTAGCATAGCGCTGGCCCAAGGCCATGTTTGGTGCAACCAGGCTATCCTATATAATTCTTGCAGATGTGAAGATGTTCTATATTTCATACACTAAAGTTAATTTGGAAAGGAGAATTAAGACAAGCAGTACTTTTCTGGAAGCACAGATCAGTGGATGTGAATCATTAGCATAGCTCTTTAGTCCATTTGTTTCTAATCAGAATCCCTTTCAGAACAAGAAATTTAAAAGTGGAATTGACTTGTTATATGCATTACAGATACATACTATGTTCAGATTAATCTGGGATTGCAGTCTGTGATTCAAATCACTTGATTCCTGTGGAAAGGACTGTAGTGTGGTCATCTATGTTGCTGCAGACTAGGGAGCAGTATAGTTCTACCAGAGTGCTGCCTGAGGTAGTGCTGTACTGAGGGAGGAGGGATGCCCTCAGGAGCAGGCTTTGCTGATCTTTGTATGGTTCTAGACCCACTGCAGCTGTGCCAGCTGTGGTTGGTGAAAATCACAGGATCTGTGTACAGTCACCTTTGCACAGTACAAGAAACCAGGAAACTCACTTTCATACATTTACTTGCTTCTACTCATATGTTGTGTTTCTTAATCATACCTCTTGCATATGTTCTTTGTCAGTAATTCTTAAAACGAAAATATTGCTGGCTGGACTGTAAAGTCTGTCATACAATGTCTGTGTCTCTTTCTTTCATTGTTGTCTTTATCTGTCCCTTCAATCCAGCAGCCTTTTTCCTATTATCGTTACTTTATTTTTCCCCTGTCAGAATTTATTTTTACTCTACTTCATGTTTAACTGTATTTCTATTCACCAAACCCTGATTTTCATCGTTCCTTTTGTCAGATGGACATAGAAACTCACTATATCCTGTCTCATAGGTTATTTTAATTCCCTTTTTTTCTGCTAATTCTTTTCCTTTCTGTTAGTAGAAAGAATGAGTGCTCACAGTTAAAGCAGAACTGAGCAGTGGAGATGAATGCATTGCTGGAAAGAGATGTTTCAGGGAGATTAATCTAGCATTCTTTTTTGCTGTGAACGGCGTGTGGAGATAGGTATGGAAATAACGTAC